CCAAGAAGACGCCACCAGCATTAGGTCTATGCACATTATTGATAGATATACAACGATGAACAAAATCAAGACATCTTTTTAATTTGTAACAAACCTTTTCTAAAAGAGTCATGTCAACAGACATAAATATGCAGAGAACCATATGCCTGGAAACAACCACATTTCTTGACAGCAATGATGTATGATGTGATTCCCTATTTTCACTTGTAGTATATAATCTCGTTTTTTAAGTGCTTAGTTGACGTGCCTCTGCGTGTTTGTGACTGTTGTACTACGTGGTGGAGTACGATGAGAACACCTGGTAGCATTTCATTTTTGTTACTAAAAACTAGGGGTGGGTATTGCAGAGAATGTTCATATTTCGATACATTGCGATATGTATTGCAATATATTGCAAGAAGTATTTTTAAACAAAAAACTACTTATCGGCGAGTTAATGCTTGATTTATAAAGCAAAATCGCAAAATGTCACTGTGCTTGATTAGGCTTTAATAACATCTCTTAATCATGACAAAATAAAAATTGTAAATAATATTTGGCACAAATGAAACAAGGAATTATCCCAAGACATCCGAGTGTTACGAAGTTTTCCGTAGCAAGTCAAAATACCGGTTTTCGATCAGCGTATCGCAATACGCCAACGGAAGTGGTCTTACATTCAGGCTTCTGCTCATTAGTAATGTGAATATGGCTTATAGAGAGTATTCAGCTTTGAAGCCAAGTCGGCATTCCCCGACAGCAGACTAAAATCAATGGAAAATTATTCCGGAAAGAAAAATGTTTTTTTTACCCAGATCATCAATCATCGAGCCCGTTGATACTTGTGCTGAAGTTCGAAGTTTGCTTTGTTCTTCTGACCATGCTCCTCATCAAATAGAAACTTGTCGACTTTCGAACGAACCGTTTAATTATGGCATAACTGCTGAGAAAATGATGCCGCCGTCTCATTTCAGCGTCGCCAGGAATTACTTCAGAAAAATGGAGTGCACATCTTGAAACGTGTCACAATACAAGGCTGACTGTGTACTAAATGTACATAAAGATATAATAAAACAGTAACATTACCCAAGGCTACGCCCCACTGAAGCTAGGTTTACTTTTCCTTACAGGGATAATGGTTTGATTGATTCATGCTTATAGTGAAGGTCTCAGTGGCACGATATCCTCAAGGGTTACATGTGTGAATCTGAGAGGTGCTTGCTTCATTTCAATAAAATGTGCCTGGTATTTACAGATCCTTATGAAAAATTATCATCAACATCTGTCATAATTCATTTATATGTAAGTTTACGTGATTATGAAACCAAGTGCATTTTAAACACTATGTTCGTTTTTCATATTTCAATAAAAGCGTCTTATTGTAGCTCGAACTCCACTTTGACCTATACTACAGTCACATTGATATCAACTCTGTATGTGGGAGTAACACATGTAGCAGGTTCCATAGGGAGGGCAGAGTATGATTACCCTTCTTCACGAACACCTGGTGTCAGCACTGTGTTTTTATGTCTCCATTAATACCATTTTAAACACTATTTCTTTAGATTATGGAATATTTTTTTTCACTTCCTGTCCTGATTCCTTGCTCCACGAATACACATGCGCAGTAATTCCCCACCGGTCCAATTCCTTACCTTGGGTGATCGTATTTTCACACTTCCTCTAATGTTATAAGAAATATTGCAAATTATCTTACACGCAAATCTGTTTTGGGATTGCAGCTGCCAATACCGACAGGCAAACGATAAGAGATCATGTCAGAAGCAACATTTATGAAGATATATCCTGCGTCCTTCACACTGTCGTTAATGAGTCTCTAATGTATAAAATGTTTCGTGTTAGAGCACATGTATTGCATCTTAACACTTATCCTTTGTATTTTCATAGTCTGAGAATGCTTAGTGTATAAAGCAAAGGTCACGCATTTTATCATTGGTTCCTTGAGTCCGGATATATGAACGTATGTGTTCAAATAGTATGTTTCGTTAAATAGTTCCTTGATTTTACTTTCCAACTGCGAAGTGATGACGGTCGTGTTAAAAACATGACTTTCACGAACAATCAATTTGTTTTTCGCCCCAAATATATTCAACGAATCAGATATTGTCTGATCCCCTTCCTCCACGACTACCAAGGACACGTCATCTGAACAAGTCGATTATCATTCATTAACGCCGACCAGCCAGACCAAGTTGATGGAGTATCTGTACTTTCACAAGTTAGGTCAGGGGCGACCAACGCGTCCAATACGATGACCACGTGGTCGCCCCACGCAGCCTTACCTGTGTCTTCGTATTAACACGTGGTTCCTTCCGAAGTCATACACGTGAGAACATTACTGTATGCATATTTAATAACCATCAATCCGTAGGCGTTATGTTCGTTAATGGATGAGGTCACTGGTAGCAGTAAAAGGAATATATCCTTACTCATTACGTACTTCAAAATGTCCAGATGAAGGAGATGTTGTGTTTCTTGGTATATATATTTAGACGTAGTGCAGGTGGTGAAAAACAAACAAGATTGTCAAAAGGGCGTGTGATCGGTCTTTTGTCAAATGTGACCTACTGATTGGTTCTCTCAAGTGATGTATACAAGTCTCCCTGGGGCATATGGATCAGAATTAGTCACCGAAAACCTGTGCTGGTTGTAAGAGCGACCAGATGGATTGGGTGGTCAGGTTCTGCGACTTGGATGTGGGCGTGTCATCGTAGCCCGAGGAAGTGGGTCGTTGCTCACTGTATCAATAACTATACTGCTTGGTCCAAGCTCGTTTACGGGCTGCAGTTTTATAGCTGATATATTGCTGACCGTGATCAGGGCGGGGGACACCAGAAATGGGCTTCACACCATGGGTTTGTACCCATGTGGGGAATCGAACCCGGGTCTTCAGCGTGACGAGCGGATGCTTTAACCCTTAGGCTACCCCATCGCCCACATAATACGAATAAGAATAAGAATCTCATTGGGAACAGAACTTATTGATAAATATCTTAACTTGCAACAAATGATGGATAATACAATTATGACAGTATCATGCACGGATCAAGTGAAATCTATCCATAAGAAAGAATGAAGTATTAACGTGCAAACATCCTGAGAATTGGGGGTGTGGTGGGGTGTGGTATGGGGGGGTGGAGGTGGTGGAAGGTACAACTTGCGTCGTCTTCCATCTGTCTCAATATCTTTATCAGGAAGTGACGAATCGAAGGTTGGATTTACAGTTATGCAATCAATGTAACAGTTGGCGATGAGAGGCATCCAACGATGAAACGTTAATTCCAGTAATATAGTCATATGTTTCGATTACAACATCTGTAAGTGTATTATCGTGGTCACCAAAGCTGATATTGTCCATGGACCGTGTTGAATTAAAAACATCTTTGAACGATGCGATACTAGTTTAATATATCTATGTATTTGCATGTGTTGATTCAAACGTATCAATATTAAATAAATATAAATAGCAACTGCTTACTGAAACACATGGTCTCCTCGTGTTATTTTAAACCAAGGAAGCTCATTTACATAAACTAATGATTAAATTGTTTTTCACACCGGAGGACAGGATTTCTAGCTACAATGTGTGAATATAAGCGAGAAAAGCGATATGAAGGTTTGGTTGCGGGATTCCGAGTGTATGATGTTGTTTAAACATCAGCATGTGGTGCTTTATGTATTGATGATCATTGTCATTTAAATGTATCTTTTTACCTGAGTGTCAAAACTTTATTAATTATGTGCCTACACATATATACCAAGATATGTCACACATACAACGTGTATGTCGCTGGTATACGCATTGTCAGTATGCGCGAAGAATATTCTTCGATTAAAGGTGTACCAAAAACACCAAATATCCTTTTCATTCTCCAGATGAATGATTAGAGGTAAACATTTATCCATTGACTATCGATAAAAATTAACCAGTGCATTTGAGAAATAGTCACACTTGCAATTTACATTACCGAGTAATTGTGGTTGTCGATTCCTAGAAACTGGCTAAATTGACATGTCTGACTAAATATAGCTTGGAATCTGTACTGATCAAAAACACGACTTGCGGTCTTACCAAAAATGTACCGGATGATTCTACATAGACATGTCCAGACTAAAGGTCCAGAGTCGGACAATGTTTCAACGTATATTTACGGTTGCGTCAATCGTCGACATTGTATTTTATATGTGACTGACAAAATACAAAAAAGATATGTCCATTCTTAATTCAAGTAAATGTTCCCCAGCACATAAACCTGGAGACAACCTATGTGTATATTTATGTTGCTCCTTTCGAGTTTTTTCCCAGCTTTGCAATTGATTGCTCGCTGACACATCAAATATTCCATCAACTAAGTGATATCCATGTTTGAATGTTTCTCTACATGAATATACCTTCTGCAGACTCGAATTATAATGTATTTATATACAACTACTGTTTCTTTTATGGGTCAAGATTTTATTGCAGCACACATGTTCTGTTACTGATGATCATTTAGACATCGCTGGACAGGTACAGGATTATTCAGAGGTCATGTTCAGCCAAATTTCGTTCATATCACTACGTATTTTATATGACAATGCAGATCTCTCAATTGAAGAAAATCAGAATATCTTGAAATATGTCCAGATTACATCAATCAAACTAAACGATTCCTCTGTTCATCTTAAACTGTGATAGTCTCAAACTCAAGATCTCTTATGCATATCTTCTCTGTTTTAAACATATTTGATTGAAATCATGTAAATATCAGTGTGCCCAGTCGTTTTTTCAATGAATAAAGTATGTTTAAATCAAATAAAACATCACATCACTACTAATAACATAACTGCAATATAGATATATTTTGTTTCCTTTAAACGTAAATGTTTAAGCAGTTGTTAGCTAGTTTAAAGCCATGCTTATACACCCCCTCTCTCGGTGAGGGAGTGAATGGATGAGAATACATTTATACTACATGTACAGTAAAAGATCAGAGTATCAGATATTTAAAACTGACAGTTAAAATAATATCACTATTAAGAACAATACAATATAAAAACAGGTTATAGATCGCCAGTATGTGAAAGTAGATCACCACTCTACACCACTCTACACACCACACCACACCACATGTCATTAATTGTAAAAAACGAGCATCTAACCGATGATAGTGCATTCAAAAGACAACCTAATAACAGTAAACTGTTCTTGATCTACTGTAGCATTGAAAACCACACTGTCGACGTTTAAACCATAATTATATTTAGCACTATGCGGGGGAAAAGACTTAACCCGCAGGTTAGTATTTATAGCCATGCTTTTCTTGGCGATGGCGATGAAGTGATGGCCGAGGGTAAATAGCCGTGTCTATATCGAACAGGTGTATGGAGTGAAGTGAATCATCAAGAGAGGTAAAGGAGTGTTTTATATCTCCGACAATCTCTACAGAACTGTTTGAATACTGCTTCATCCCCTGTGATAGGTTCATCCTCAAATATAGAAGTATATGCTGATGTTAACCGTCTATATGATCTTGACGTTTTGGTATGTCATATATCATCTCTACAACATTTATAACAACATATGTTCCAAGAAACAATGACACATGCGAGTATGTCCGTTTGAGACCAGTAGACTCAGCTTAAAAGTTCTGGCTAAACGGATTGTACAGTTGCCTAAGGCGCTACAATGTGTTGTGCAGGGGCGTCCCTCGCGTACATCAGACACCCATAATACTGGGTTCGAATCCCGGTTCACCGTGATTCTGCTTCTGGGTTCGTCAGCGTCGTACCTTTGACCGTGGGTTTCACCATAGTGAGTCAAGTCAAAAGGTTTATTGTACAGAAGGTCTCTGGCCCATATACAAGAGAGTATGTACACATCATACTGTTACACACAGGAAGTAACACGTTCTTTAAACAGTATATTTCTTTTAACTAGTGCATTTTTAATATATAGTGAAAGGTTTAATATATGGGATTCGTTCTTAGTCGTTAAAATATATACGAAAGCTTTCAATAGCGGCATCTCTATCAAATAATCTTTAATAGACGTCCAGGCCCTGAAGCACGTCGGACGTTCTTCCCTCGACGTGGTATAACAGAATACTGTTCAAAGCGGCTTGAAATTCAAATAACTCACTTACTCATGCACAGGGGGCGTTATTATTAGAATATCAAATGGTCTCTCTTTATTTAACATGTAATATAAGTAAATTAAAAAAGAAGTTTATTATTTTATGCCACAATTAACAGACGTCTAGCTTCTAGGTGATCAAGAATGATTACCTGATATGTACTTTAACAAACCCGTGATGTAATGTGCAGGGTCCCTTTCAATCAACTATGCCACCTTGCCTGACCCCACCAGAAAGTTTTAATCAATTCGAACGACAAGAATAGATTACTGGCGAACAATTATATCCTGGATTCTCCTGGGGATTCTTTTGATGGACCTTTTACTTTTTGCTTTCAGAATCTGTCAGTTAATTTATGTGTTTCCTGTAATAATAATGCAAAACGGAATCCCGAAAGGGATTGAAATAAACACACAGTGGCAGACAGATGAAGTATCGGTACGTTTAGCCATCATTTACCAAAAAACGTAAATAATTTTATGAAAAAGTCATTATATTTCTACAACGTGACATTTAAACACATTGGAGAATATGGCGGCTTTTCTATTTCAAGGTCAGGAATACAGTGATGTCACCACCTAAAGCAAATCAGAAACATTGACACAAGCCCTTCGTTATCGCCATATTCCCTAACTACGTAACGTTATGTAACGACACTCCATATTTCATATTAGAGAGCTTCTGGGCGGTTGAAAATTTGAGTTTGTGGTGAATTGAATGGTAACGGTCCTCGCGATAAACGTACAACAGGTCTGTCGATACAGCTGAAGTAGTACAGGTTCACGGACCTGTTGTGGCTATTTCAAAATGACAGCAGCAGAGAAAGTCTTGACGTTTTATTGACGGGCAGACTCTTAAAATATCCAGACCCGTGACGATCCGGGTTAGAATTGATCGTGAACCCATGCTAACGACTAACGGGATCGGGTGGTCACCTTCACTGACTTGGCTGACACATGTTATCGTATCCCAGTTGTGTAGATCGATGCTCATACTGTTGATCTCTAGATTGTCTGGTCCAGACTCAGTTATTTACAGACCACCGCCATACAGCTGGAATATAGCTGATTGAGGCGTTAAACAACCAACCAACCAATCAACCAACTAACTAACTTAAAATATCCATGATATTATAAACGGGTACTTTGTCGTTGTCAGAGAGGGACTAGACACAGACGTACTATTTGATAGCGATGTCAGGTTGTAATTTGATTTTCCACAGTATTGCGAAGCATAACACTATACCCAAAACATGACTCAGACATGAATACGTATAAATGACTGTTGAGGTTCGTGGCTCAATATCTCATAAATATTCAAGTGTAAGGAAACGTTTTCATGAAGTTACAACCTGTGCGTTTCTAAGATCAATTTTGAATATACTCTTGCCTCTTGCCTACCCATACATGTAATTCCACGTATATTTTGCGAGATTGAAAATGGTGAATTGCTGCATGGAAATAACATCCTATTGGAATTCTAAGCTTCAGATAGTGAATAGGAGTTCGGTCTTAATTCATATTTGATAGTCCAGGAACGTCGTATTCTGGTCAGTTAAGTATTCTAAATCAGAAAACCCACTTAATGATTATGATCTGTTCTGATAGTCATATTTTATGCAGTGGCAATAAAATCAGATCAGAGGATTTTTTATAGCGGTACTGAGAAGTCAGCTCTGACTTTTAAGTGATTGTCTTCTTTGTTATGTATAATACGTTTCTCCACACACGTTCCACGCTGTAGATGAACTGAACACCCCTGTTCAGAACTGTCATCACCACAGGCGTCTACAGAATAACACGATTAGTTAGGGTATGTATAAGACGATTATTGCCTGGAATAATTTCAGATTTCTAAACATATAAAGGAATCAGTATTGATTATCTGGACGGTGACGGGGCGAATTTCTGTGTATTTACAGTGTTTTATGCCAGAATTGGTTTGAAAAAATGTTTTGTATAATGAATAAGAAATCCCAGCATTTTACCCTTGCGCTTGTGCTTGACCAAAGTTGGAAACCTATAACAACTGTCTTATCGAGCTTGGAACCACATCCAGCTTAATTCATGTTCTAAGCCGCGTTGTAGTACTGGAAATGCGGAGCGTACTAACTTGTCCGTGTACTCTTCTCTTCACCGAGTTTCACGACTCACTGATATATGTTTCACCGCAATTGTTACTTTTATGCAGCATGAAATCTGTCTGAAACCTGTTCTTGGCGTTGACTGTGCACATTAACATCTAACAAACACTAACCCGCTAACCCATCACTCATATGCTTCCATTAGGTAATAGAAACGCACACACGTATTGATATATATGTAATTCCACATCAGTTCTCATGCCAGCGCTCCAAAGAACATGATGTCAAAATGTTACTGTACTATTGGCCTCATGGCCACTCTACGAAATAAATCTGTCTGTCTGTCTGTCTGTGTAATTCCACATCAGTTTGTGCAATAACAAGATAAACAGACACATTTTGAAGTTACAAGACAGACAATGGTAACTGCTCCGTATATAGATTTCTATGCAGATGCAAAACCATGAACCTAGCGCACAGAATATGCTGATATACAAACATCGTAGGATGCTGTGAAGTGTTTTAACAGACTCCAATTAATGTACAATGAACATGAGTCCATTGCATGTAGTATAATATGAAGCGGTCCATGACTTGACGAAGAGAAGCCGTGGTGCGAGAGACATCCTTGCATGACTGTGCAGTCAGTATCTTGTCAACTTTATCACCCTACTCCCTGGGAGGTGTACGTTTTTAGGAAAGATTACATAACGTTCACCAGATTCAGGTTTTTATCATCCACATTGCATAGACCCGTGGATGATTTATCTGTAATACAAGATGTGAGCATAGATAGAACTGCTGAAATATGTATGAGCAGTTGCAGATTTTACTCTACTTTTTCAGATGTTTTGGAACTTGGAATGTTCTTTTTTATATTCTAGCTAATAACCTCTCATCAACAAAACATTATATGTTGAAGGCGAGCATTTCCGTTGTATGTATTGGAAAAAACATCACTCATATGAATACATGTAATAGAATATTCTTAGTCCCAGACAGTGTGTATGAATGTTGATATCATCAAGTCTGTCTGGTGGAATCAGCCGATACTGCCAGAAGAGTAAGTGAGAAGTAGCTAATTCAAACTACAGTACGACCACTCCACCATGGTAACAGATTGGCATCAAAACATAACCTATAAAACCAATTCATGAACTATAATTTGCACCCTGATACAGCACACATAATTCTGTCAGATTTACTTTGAAATTTATAGAGGAAGTCACTGGAACGAAACAGCCACCAATTTGAGAATGAAATTGAAAGGATCTTCAACATAATCTCCAAATGGTTTCACACAAAAGTTGTTCTGTAGGCGCAGTGAACATTACATGGGGACTCTGAATTACATTGCAAGCGGTGTAAAAGTAAAATAATGTCTTAAGGAATCGTAAAATACGAGGACAAACGAAAGTTATAAGACGAGCCTCAAATTTAAGCATATCACTGAAAGAGAGTGAATGAATGCACGAGTGTGTGTGTGTGCGTGTGTGTATGTGTATTAAACAACACGTTGCTATGAAGATTTCGATGGTTGTATTACGCCATGTCAGCATAATGTAAACTGATTATGATGCAGGCTTAAGACGTTTCCCACTTTGGAGAAACCCACAAATACAGACTGAGGCTAACAAACCAAAGAAAACAATCGTCATGAAGCAGAATTTGATTTCACCACATAAAGATCCTGCCCAATTTGACTTTACCTGATTACCAACATTGACTTCGCACTATCGTTTTGTGAATAGATTAAAAATAAAAACATATCTCAGTACATCTTCTGTATAAGCTTTCACAAAATTGGAATCTGGGACAGGTTTTGCAACCATTCCCTCCAGAATATTCATCGTTTCTAATGGAAGCTAGGAACATCTTGACAAGAAAATGAATAACATCATGTTATGCGTGTTCTCACGAAAGATTATGGCAAGAACTGATATATTTTTTATTCGCGTCTTTCAGTCTGAATTTGTTTAAACGATTTACAAAAGATTGTGTTCATTTCTGATTAGCATATTGACTGAATCAGATGTCATGGGAGGCAATGTATGTCTTTCACCGCCATCCACATCACCGACACATTCACTGTAACCATTATCTACTTTTGTGACCGTTGTCATGTTATCGGACATATAAGATAAAATGGGATCAGGTTAAGCTGCTCTTTTAATGAGCGTTTGACGGTTACCCTTGGATATTTCCGTCAAATATTGACCGGTCGGTTAACACAAAGACGTTTACTGAAGTATTTGCTCCCATAGGGGCATGTTGAAAATGAATGAAAGAATTTGAAAATTAATGCATAGCACATTGAAAACGAATAAATGAATAACTGAAAATGAATGAATCGGTTATTGAAAAGGAATACATTATCGAGAGTGAATGGATGAATGGATATATGGCTTATTGAAGTGAATGAATTATTGAAAAGGAATGAATGAATTATTGAAATGCACGAACGAATTATTTTGAATGAATGAATGAAACAAAGAATAATATAAGGTTTATCTCATGATTAATTCAAATATATTAAGCGTCAGTGACTTATGATTTTTAGACACATTGGCAATGCGTCATATTTTATACGATGTATGATGATATCGTATAAAAAGGACATTCCAAAATGTATTATGAAATATATCACAGACATTGTTAAAAATCTATTTTGTGAACTACTAAAGAACAAGCCGTATACTAAACAACACAGTATGAAAACAATTATACTTTTACACCGTCCTGACCCCTTCAGTTACAAACCAATGCAATGAAAAAACCCCACTTTACTGGGCACATCAAATCTGAGCAAATAATCCTTATTTCTGTTTAAAACTGAATGCTTGATTGGTGTTACTTTGAAATATATTTTAATTACCTTATGATTGGAAAATCAAATGAGCTTGTCTGTAATTCTTCCATCCCAAGAGTCAGACACTCTTTGTTCCTGATCAATAAATCAACTTTTCAATAAATATTCATGCATATATCCAGGATGTTCAGACGCCACCGCTGTAATATGACCTCCGCGCGTCTTGACTAGCATCCCACGTATGGATATCAGGTTGCTGGTTTGAATTAATGACGTTTGGTAATATCTACTTGGGTTTCATAACTCTTGCATAACAACCCGACCATAACTTCTAATACTGACTGACTGACTGACTGAGTTTGTTTTTACGCCGCTTTTAGCAATATTCGAGCAACATCACGGCGGGGGACACCAGAAATGGGCTTCACACATTGTACCCATGTGGGGATTCGAACCTGGGTCTTCGGCGTGACGAGCCAACGCTTTAACCACTAGGCTACCCCACCGCCCCATAACTGTAATAACAGGCTTACAGTTTAGTGCATGAGATAACATGGGGGGGATTTATTGTCACGGCTAGCTACGATGTAGCGTCCGCTTTTGTATTGCCAATCAAGCTAACATGGCTGGACAACCAACAAGCAAGCAAGAAAATATATTCTGTTGGGCAGTTGTTAGATAATTTATACAATTCCAAACTTTCGTAAAGGTAAGAACGGAAAATCAGAAAAAAATATTGAAAGGCTGATGATTCTTATATTGTTCCAAAATTAAAAGTAGTTGAAGGCTGTTAAGATTAATCAGAGAAAATGGAATTGCACTCCCAAGTCCATATTCCTGTTCATCTTGATGATCATCAGTGTCTCTCGGAAGAAAACCCCACCACTTTAAATTGTATTTCTTTTAAAACAGAGAAAATGAACCAACTGAGACTAATGCTTTCTCAAAATGACCCGTGAAGATCCGGGGTAGAATAGATCTTCAGCAACCCATGCTTGCCACAAAAGGCGACTATGCTTGTCGTAAGAGGTGACTATCGGGATCGGGTGGTCAGGCTCGCTGACTTGGTTGACACATGTCATCGGTTCCCAATTGCGCAGATCGATGTTCATGATGTTGATCACTGGATTGTCTGGTCCAGACACGATTATTTACAGACCGCCGCCATATAGCTGGAATATTGCTGAGTGCGGCGTAAAACTAAACTCACTTACTCACTGACTTTCTCAAAATGAAATCATGAAGATGCCTCCAATCTTCTACTTACATGCGATTGTATTCTTAACAGACGATTCTTAACTTACCAGAAAATAGAATTTCTACGTGTATTTTCACGGAATCCCCAAGCTAATTTTTTCTTATAATGCTGTTTGTCTCCAAGTACCAAACCAATCACACATCCCATATATTTTTTACAAACAAAACCTTTAACTGACGTTGGGCGATAATTGAACATACGTGGGCAACAATTGCATAAAGAACGAAGAAACTGCCGATAAGTCCATATTTTGTTTCATATTAGCAAAGTCTCAAAGCAAGATCATGAATAAATATTGGAAACATAACATTTCAAAGACTCTTTTTTGTATGTAGGGAACTGGGATGATGTCTGAAATATTGTACTGCCTTTTCCGTATAATTCCTTCCCTTTTTGCATTCAACCGTCGGTTTGCAAGGCTTTGGTACTTGTGTGTCAGCATGTGTATGTAGGGGATATTAAAGGATCACTTACAGTAATGACAATCGCAGGGTTTAATGTATAAGTGCATGTTGCGTGAAACGAAGCCCAAGTGACCTTTTAACATTTAACCCTAAAGAAAGTGGTTTAAAGCATTAAATAAATGAAATGGTGCACGGAACATTAAAATTGATTTTAAAGACTTGAATCTATGATTTACAGATCAAGTGGGGAATAACTTCTTGTGGCATAATGTATATATTTGTTAGAATCAGTAAACACCTACTAGCTTGTTATGTGAGTCAAAATATACATCAAATTTTCTCCTTATTGTGTGTGTTCGAACATGGAGGGATATTCTCTGATCTGATGATAGATACAGTGCTGAGGGAGCTCATACAAATGATGCAGTGTGGGAGAAGGACGTTGGCAAACAAAATGCAAAGTGACACGAACAATGTATTAGAAGATTTGTATGACGAGGAACAGGGCCGTAAATGATGCCGTAATAAGCAGCCATATCTCATCAAAATACTCCAGATGCATTATCCCCTGGAGGAAAAATAACAGTAAGATTGTATTGCCTCAAAACAACGTTATCAATATGTTCAAACGGGAAATGTTTATTTTGTGTAAAATAATTCCATTTCAAAACAAATTCCACTGATGCAAATTAAGAGACATATATACTCATCCAAAAAAAGTTAAGAACCACCCAAATATTCAATATTAAGTATCATATGGTTCACAATATGAACTAATAAATACTTTGATATTGAAAATTGGGTCCCTTCCCTTTTTTAGTTGAGAACATTGAAGCTCACGTAGGGTTCTATAACGTGTAGAAAGGCCACTCCCTTGTACTAGGTTTTGAAAATCACACTGGACTCAATTTCGTGAACAGATTTAGGTACACATGAACCGTATGTTTGTTCCGCTGCCTGTTAAATATTTGATCTGAGGGCTCTTCAAGTTCACAATCTAGATGCGCCAAATGATATCATTGTTGACATCAACTATACACCAATTGTCCACATGCACCCAGCTACAGGGATACACTCGGTATCGGTATGGCACTACTAGGCGCAATGTCCAAACTGACGACATGTGAAACACCAGAACGAGTTTGTTACAAATACCACACCGGTGATTTTGGAGGATTTGAAAGTACAAAGGAAATAGCAGGAAGTTCTTTATTTCTGTCAATGTCTGCTCTCGGTGGCACAGAGACACAACATGCGACAAAGAAGTCGCCCAGTTTAGTCTCCTCTTACGACCAGCAGATTCTCTGCGGGTCCGCACTGGAACTGCACAGAACTGAGCTCTAAAGTCAACATGTCTCAGTGTAAAAAAGTGAAAGACAGTACAAGACCTTTAGCTACAGCTTGTCCTACACCAAATCAGAATCATTAGTAAGATCAGCCGTTTTTGTTGAGCACGTGATTGGATGATTCTATGTGAGATTTGTAGGTTCCTAACATGTACATTTAGTAAGACTGATCATATTGTTTTAATATGTAATTGCTTTTTTTAAAAGTTAACTTATAGTGAATGAGACCACAGATGTTATCAAGCAGTTGACATTTGATGCGGAACGGAGGATGGGTTGTTTTGCTCCTTGGAAAAGGAACTGGCTAATCTAGCCCGAATTGCTACTGCTTTAAGACCAACCTGTGCACACATGCCTATTTAATAGCTGCTGAAAGCATGGTCATATTGGAATTTAATACCTTTACTCCAGATGTCCATGGACAACGACTGGCTTGTGAAACCTGCACATGTTCTTTTCAGCGAGCAGAGCTACTGTCGTCGTCGTCCTGTCGGCGTGATAACCATCCACGATCGTCATGGAAGTTTGAGTCACATATTCTAATAACTATGCTCGTTTTACCAAAGCGGTAAATGTCAATGACTAATCCTGCATCACGACAGGATCTACTTTCTTGACGGAAATCTTCTTCGAAGTGGCGTATAAACAACCTACTTCTTTGAAATGTTTTGTTATCGTACTTCTAAACAACACAACATAGCCATGTTTGCGTCCTTCACTCAGATTCTAATCAATCTATAATAAATTAAAACCTTGACATTTGTCTTGAAACTTTAAGTGAACATTATGTTGTTTGGATTAGCACAAAATATGTTAATGTATTGTGAAAAAGGAATCGGTGTATGTTCAATTTGCACGGTTCGTCGGGCGTAAAATATAACATATTTATACAGCTATATAATGTCTGAAATAGCTGCCCAAACCAAGACAAATGCGCCGGTACGAATCTTTTCCTTTGCTGACCATTCGCTTCAAGAACGTATTTGTCTAATTCCATATCTCACTGAGTATCTTGGTTTGTTTAAAGAAGTAATTCAAATTAAAACCAAAAAAATAAAATTCTTGAATTACTTTTGCTTGTACGTGCGCTGAAACCAAATCGTTCAACAACCCATATTCAAAATTCAATTTTCGTTTAAAATACATCGATGACTCAGACTCAAAGAAACAAGATCCTTATGAGATCTCTTCTGTATCACACCATTACCGTTGGAGAGCAAGAAGGGTTGATATCATTCCTAACTTGCTTTGCATGTCAAGTGTCCTTTGTTTCGATAAGAGCACATAAAACGACTAAAGCGTTGCTAAGATTTCTAAACAACCTATCACGTCCTAACAAATTTACCTTGAACTTGTGTCAAACTTTGCTTTATTTATAATGAACAGCACGAGAATTAACCGTTATATAATGGAATGTATATGCTTCGTGTAGCCGCAAATTTGATTAAATTTGTAAAGGAAGCGATTTGGAAGAAACGCTATTGCGATTTGATAAAACATTAATTGAGTATCTCGATTCCTCTGCTTCAAGTGGACGGGTATCATGGGTTGGCATAATGAGATCAGCTGTTCGAAAAGTGCATTAATGACTGTATGGTGTTCAGTATACATGCATGGATATTCCTGCTTATTTGTGAAACTAAATTAGGCATTTCCTGCAATACTTTAAGATACTTATGACTCTCGCTTAATCATGTTACAGTTTCCAGTACAGTTAACGTCAAGTCCACTGCCCGTGGGAGCATACACAAAGGTTTAATTCTAACACTTCCGTTTCCCTGCACAATAGGTGGGTAGCTGGATCAACGAATGGTGCAACATTTTATTGGACATGTATCACAAGGATATCGGAGTCAAGAAACCTCGTGTTGTTTAGTATAGGCAGCCCACGCTTTTATTATGATGAAGTCACGTTAAATTCTTATACACCACTGAGTAATGTTTCATGTAAACATGATAATAATTGACATCACGGTTTATATTTCTTTCTTTATGTTTTTAAGGAGTGAGTGAGTGAGTTTAAGATTAAGAGTCACATTGACAATATTGCAACCATATCGTGACTATAGTAACATATACTTTAATAATAAATAAAGTTTTTCCTAAAATCTGTCAACAAAGGACAGTAAAACAACTAGGGCATCACAGATAAAAATTTAAAACTAGTTTGTAAGCATTAAAACATTTATTACTGTACAAGATAATGCAATATAAAAATTGGGCTATAGGTCACCAACAACTGAAGGTAGATCACCATACTAGGGTGAGTGAGTGAGTTTAGTTTTACGCCGTTCTCAGCAATATTCCAGCTATACGGCGGCGGTCTGTAAATAATCGAGTCTGAACCAGACAATCCAGTGATCAACAGCATGAGCATCGATCTTCGCAATTGGGAACCGATGACATGTGTTAACCTAGTCAGCAAGACTTACCATCCGATCCCGTTAGTCACCTCTTACGACAACCATGGGTTACTGACGATCAATATTCTAACCGCATCTTCACGGGTCACCATACTAGGGACCATGGGGACTTACATTACCTTTGTTATCTGCATGGACCATGTTTTTACGGACTCACCAAATAATTTCGCTAAAAGGTGAGCTAAATTTCGTTAAATTGTTCACCTGAAATAATTAGGGAACGTATGGTAAAAATCAAAATATGGAATTACATTGGACATCGGAACCTCTTTGTAGAGGTAGACATTTTCAGTGTAAGAACATAGTTGCTTGCTACGACACATTTAATCAAGAAAGGTTGAAACCGCATTATAGGCCTCATACAATCGTCATGAAGAAATAGTCAGTATATCCCGTTATAATGCGTTTCTGACAGATAAATCTGATACCATGATTTCTGAACTTGAAATGGACTGACAGGCTGTTGGTGCAAATGTATCAACAACTGGAAATGCCTGTGATACATGATGATCATTAAATAGTGAATCACCCACCACCAAGCTCACAGTCAAGTCTTCACTGTGGAAAATATCAGCGTCCATTCTACGGTGGAGTTTGTACCTCAGTTTGGAGAACTGCGACTGGAACAATGCCGGTTACAGTAACAAGCTTATTCTCTCAAATCACTAATAGTCACTATCCAATCTTCGTGTTTAGCGAGAAAACGTGCTCAAGTATATCGATACTGGTGGCGCGTGGTCCTGTGCTCAAAGCTCAGGTCACAAATCGGTGAAGTTAAGCAGCGTCGAGCTCGGAGAGTCCTTGGATGGGTGACCGTGTTTGGCAGCTTGACTCCTGAGAGTTTCTAGGACTTGAGTCCTGCCCCACAACGAAGCACATGTGACACATGTGGTCTCACCTTAGGCAAGTGAGTTTGTTCAAAATTGTCTCTGTTCACCCAGCAGGAAAATGGGTACCCGGTGGAAAAAAGTCATATGACTATAACCTTCTAGCGCCTAACAGGCAGCTTGGGTTATCCGGGGTAATAATGTGCTGTGCCTTGATTGTTAGCGCTATGAGCATACCTAGTGTGGAGTTTGGCGCTATATAAATGGACACATTATTATTATTTAAGTATACTTTCTGATGAAAACTTGATCAACATATTCATCCCCAAATAATCCACACAAAACATTAGCCTAGTGTTCATACCGATCATACTGAGCGCCCGAGTTCGATTCCCGACACGTGTGGAATCAATATGTTGCAATCCTCGACTGTATAGGGACGGTGGGGTAGCCTAGTGGTGGTTAAAGAGTTCGCTCGTCGCGCGAAAGACTCGGCTTCGATTCCCACATGGGTACAATGTGTAAAGCCCATTTCTGCTGTCCCCCGCCGTGATATTGCTGGAATATTGCTAAAACCAAACTCACTCACTCACTCACTTTCTTAATCTGAAAAAGTACGTCCACATTGTTTTACAGAAACAAATTTCATGAGTTGGAGGAGCAACCTTAAATATATTCATTAAAAAATAGCCTTAATTTATTTTGCTAATCTTTACATAACATATACCTGTTGCTTGGTGAATGGGATATCAACGTCATGCTGGATGTGGCTTTATGAATTAACACGAATAGCACAAATGCCTTTGATGTTGAAGTATTGACATTTGGTAAATTATTACCTCTTCAACCTTAAGCTTTGGATCAAGACAAACTTCCCATGCGCAAGTAAACGTGTTACAAATAAACTCTGTGGTTACGGATGAACCAGTCGTCTATGTTGCTGTCTTCTGCACACTAGAAACCTCTGATTGTGGGATCGAATCCCTGTCCGCTCGAGCTACACTTCTAGATTTAGGGCTTTTAAAGCTGGATTACTGTACAAAGCTCAGTTTAATCCATCCATCTCACTGAAACGTCTATATGGCACGCTTAACATGTTACTAATTAACTATTAAATAAATAATGTTTTGCTGCTCATAGCAACACATTCAAGATGAATTTTCACGCCGTGGGGCGCTATAAGGATCACAGTCCCTGTACCAACTCATCTCATCCTGTACCAATGCACTTCTGGTCGGCAGACTCATTTCAAACAAAATCAGTTGCCGAAGGAGACACCCCGGGTTACATGTGTATCAGTCTAGAGGTTGAGCTGAATTCCTGGGAGCCCATTTGTCACACAGCATCACCAATTAAAGACTTAAACAACTCGTCGTAAACCATCTTGCAATTGTGGACAGGACCGCCGTGCGATGCACAGATAACTGGTGTATCCTGATAAAGCAAATAAAAGTGGATTGATAAGCCAAGGTATCGCAACACAAAACCAAGACACAAAGACCAATGTTGTTTTTACGTTTTGATTCCCAAGTTGAAACTAAGAGGTAATCGGAAAGCATTCCGGAAAAAACCCTTGGTGTGAACCCGACAAAACAAAGCAATGCGATATAATGAAGAATTGTATTCTAACATTAACTAAGTTTATAAATTGCTACATGTATTACAGTGGCGGTACACAATATATAGTGACAGTACAAATTGAAACGCAGAAGCAATAAAGACAAAGATGGTAGTATTCACCTGCGACAACGGTCAAATTTCCAAAATATGCTGCGTGTCCATTATTTTATAATAAATAATAAATGTGCATTTATAATGTGCGTAATCCAGACAGATATGGCTGCTCAAGGCGCTACAAGGGGAATATGTAAAGATAGAAGTCAGAGGAAGTGTTCACTGGATTTTAATGTCACTGTGATACATGGAAAAACATATGGGTCTTCAGTCTTGATATCAATTGCTCAGAGGCTGGACTTAATTTCAACTCTGATGGAAGTGAGTTCCAGAAGATAGGGGCAGTGCTGGAGTCAAAATGTTCTACTCGATATTTAGGAACTTGGAGGAGATTGTCGTCTCTTGATCGAGGTTTACGTGCTGGAGTGTATGGAGTCAAGAGTTCAGATAGATAGTCAGGGCTGGCGTTATGGAGGCATCGGTAGGTGATACAGAGAACCGTGAACACTATTCTAGGTTTTACTGGCATCCAGTGGAGGTCTCTGAGCACTGATGACCTATAATGAACGTATTTATGAATATTCTCCATCTCCTTGGGTCAGAATATAGTTGACAGGCCCATGGGTTGTAGTACTCTGTGTTCAATCTGAACATAGCACACCAATGACCCTCACTGACCATCCACGTGTAACTGTATTACACTTAGTACACAATGAATAGCACTACTGCCGCATGACACTATCATATCTCATATCATGTATAACAGGTAGGAAGCTCATATTGTGCCCATACTGCAGAAGCTCAACATTTCGGCGAAACCCTGAGCCAACATCTCTGAAGTGAACATATTTTACATGTGAGGTGAGGTGAAGTGAAATTGGGTTTTACGTCGTGCTTGAGAATATTTCGCTCATATGACGACGTGCATGCGTGTGTATGTGTATGTGCGGCTGCTTGTACTAGCCCAGACTTAAGCTGGTTTTATAGTGCTAGCCCACTGAGATACCATGCCGCAGTGAAGCATGAATACCCCACTCAGACACATTATACTGACTCCGAGCCGACCAGTCCTTGTTGTACCCATTAATGCCGAGCGCCAGGCAGGGACCAACAAGTACCTTATTTTAACGTCTTTTGGTATGAAGCGGTCGGGGATCGAACCCGCAACCTTCCGCTCTCCGGGCGGACGCTGTAACCACTACACCACGGAGGCGGTCCACATATTTTACAGTGTTATTTTAAAAGTGTTTTAATCACAATACAATACAATACAATACAATACAATACAATACAAAGGAGCCCGGAGACTGGTCATTTTCGGACTGTGGTAATCAAGACTTGTCACACATTCTAGAGTTGCATGGGCTGTAGTGGGTACTTTGTCACAGGGTCTGTATGACATGTACAGACTAGTAAAACCCATGAATATGAAGTCTCAGACTGAGCACCATCATCAGGGCAAGACGCGGATTCGAACTGGAATCTAGCACGCCTAAGTGATAGCTCTACACACGGAATCATGGCGCATGAGCCGATTGCCACTTTTGTACCACGTGGATAAAATGTCCTTGAATTATCAATATTGAAAGTAGACGTGTTCCGAGAATAGTACCATAAAATTTCTTCGCATTTAAGACGGGTTTTGTCGCTTATACTCATATAGAATTACATGTTGGCGGGGATGTTATGTTATTATACCACAGACATTCTGGTAGCTAATGGTATTGCATTGCGAATGTCATATGACTGGTTCCAGTTGCCCCTGAGCCTTCCGTCAAAATCTTATTAGCAACTTTTAGAAGTAGAACTTCTTTTCGGGGAACGAGATATATCATGGCTGACCTTTAGACTTTTTAAGTCCTGGCAGTTTTAGGTAGAGTCAAGTTTTACATCGAGGAGTTTAAAACCAAAACAGTCAGTCGCCCAGAGTACATTCTGCGTCGTTTTCGTTTTTTAAATAAAACATCTTATCGTTGACACCTGTGGGTGAATTATGTATTTTGTAATGAATGTATTCATGAATGGCCACATATATACATAAAGTGTCGCAAATGTATGTCCTGTCCTATCGTCATCGAATGGCACACAATTGGGTAATCTTTGAAAACATGATTCCATGATCATAGCTGTCCAGATTATAGATGAATGGCAACATTTTGAAAGCCGAGAGAGCCGTGTGGTCAATTACCAAGCATATCTCCTGGTCACTGACATATCAGCTTCTTGAGCAGTGACGTGCTTTGGTAAGTTTGATCTTAAAAACGGTGTAAGGACGTCATAGCCTATGTCCCTTTGGCATTCCAAAACGTCTTTCCACAAAGAAAACACATCCGTTTCAACGTCTGACGCTTCCCTAGTTGTTGTGGAAACTAATTCACGAATCTCCAAAGCAAACCAGATCTATTCCTTGTGCAATATTTATAGACATACTCTTCTCGGGGGTATTTAAATTTTACCGGAGTAATAATTCCACTATCTATGACGGACTCACGTTTTTGTTTCATGCTGCTAATGACGGGAGCAGGCTGAATTGATCGACATGCATTGCTAGTCACGCCACTGTAATCGTATTGCGTTAACAGAAAGTGTGGATTTCTCTTGCAAGCATACAACA